GGCAGAGATGTGAAATCTCCGTTTGAATTATTTTCCAATTTACATTTTTTTCTTTGAAAACGTGACAGGCTTTGACTCCTGAAAACTGCTAGTTAAGTACCAGAAATCACTTTCTTGCTATATTGGAGACAGCTGAAAGGATAATTTTTTCCTTTTCACAGTAAAATTGGTCCAGGGAGATTGCAGTGGGATTTTAGCTTTTTTTGGTGAAAACAAAATCCCATCATACAATTTGTGTTCCTTCCTGGTCCCAGGAAAGCCAATAGGAGTTTTCCTTTAACCCTTTGTGCTTGTAAACCACAACTGTCAAGGATCATGCCAATCTGGCAGCAAATTGTGACCTTTTGGAAGTACGTCCATCTTACAATAACAGTGCTGATAGTAACGTTTTACTCTTTTGTGTTTTAAGTTTCAGAGACAGGGCAAGAATGTGGAGAAAGTTAAACAGAGGCTGATAGAAATTGCAAACCATGTTGATAAGGTAAGAACATTAGAGTTTTTTTCACTTTTTAAAGCACCACTAATATTTCTGAGAGCTGTTGCTATGAAAACTCTTCCTAGCTGGACCTAATGGAAGGAAAAGCCCAGGGAAAGTTAAAAGATTGCTATACTCCATATCCACAATGATACAACAAGAAATAGATCTTCTCAGTTAAAAAGTGCCAGGCAGTAGGAATGATAAAGCTGGTATTTCCAGCATTCCTAAACTTTCATTAGGAATTTCATTACGACAACCATGAATCAATTTTTGTATTCTGTGGATGGTGTGGCCTAGGGTCTAAATGATGGATCTGTTAATGCACTCAAATATCTATCTAGTCCTGATAAATTTATCTCTAAGTGCAAGAGAAGAATCATAGAATTAGCTTAGGCAAAGATCTCTACTTTGGTGATGGCTATTACAGTGCCTGGAGCAAAGGCAGAGTTCTGTGAAGGTTTGAAGGTAATTTAATTTAATGTGGTTTCATTGAAATACACAGTTACAGCAGGATCTTTTAGTATGAAAGTCACTGTATGATAATCAGTTTTGTTAACAGAGGCCCTCCTTGGTCACAAAGCACCAACTATGTAAATCAGGATTAACGCTTACTGTATTATTCCTAAAAATCTAGACGTCCAGGAGCAAAATTGTAATTACAAGAATTGAATTTAACTCAGAATTTATCAACTGATACCTCAAAGACTCTTAACTCAAGGACGGCCAATTCTTGATTAAAAACATGCTGCTAAACAGAACTGTTCTTCTGTAATTGTCTTGCTGACTTACTGAAGGAGAGAAGGTGCTTATTTGCTACCTGTTTGAAACTAATTTGGCACATTATAAGCTATTTATGTGTTGTGCTTCAATTTACGCTCTCAGCAAATTGCACTGTTATCCAAATGACTGTATTGACAATGCTATCCAATGACTGCAGACAAACGAGACAGAGATCTAGTATATACCCAGTTTTGTTTGGTCTGTAAGCCACATACTTGCTTAAACAGCCCCTAACCTACTTTACACTGATTTTCTTAAAATTTGCTACCACTGTTGCAACTCTACCAACTGTAACCACCCTGGATTTCAAGTATAAATTGAAATCCACCAGTATTAAAACCACTTTACCATCTAGACCAGCTGTGGTCTGGGTTATGTGGCTCAATGGGTAAAATGTAAACGCTCCCTCATTTTAACCTGCATTGGTGGTGGCAAGAGTGAGAATTTTTTAGGCAGTCATATGAATTAGCTTGTCTTGGAAATTTGTTAGGTGCTGGGGTGGTGGCACTGTTGATTCCAGGAAAAAAGTATCAAACTTGGACAGGATTCACTCTTTAACGCTCACCTGCTGAATCATTTAAAGTATTTCTCTGGAACATTTCATAGATAGTTAGTTAAGGCCAGATATCTTGGTGTTTTCTCCATATCATGGCAGTGCTCTATCTGATGTTGGTCTTTGCAGATGGGGAAGTGCATTTAGTTTTCCTGTTTCACCCAAAGAAGAGAGGCTTTTTAAGAGAATGAAATAAACTGCATGTGACCCTTCCTGAAAGTTTCTCAGTCACTAATCTAACATGCTAATCAAAATGTCTTGAATAAAGATGAATTTGTTTTCTTTGCTAGTTCTACAGGCCGTTAAACATTCGAGTAGCTCTGGTTGGCGTGGAAGTGTGGAATGACATGGATAAGTGCTCTATAACACAAGACCCCTTCACAAGTCTCCATGAGTTTCTGGACTGGAGAAAGCTAAAACTACTACCTCGTAAACCCCATGACAATGCACAGTTAGTAAGGTACAGCAGCCAGTAGTGTATTTAATAGTCCGATGGTTATTTGGGTGAGATATCCATGAACTGAGAATAACTGTACCAACTGTAATAACAGCAGGCCTGAGGTATAATAACTAAGGTCTGTGCCCTGGGTGGCAGGAGACAAACCAGCCATAGCAGCTGACATGGCAGCGGTTGCAGCTGTCAGTCCTGTGCCCCCTCTAAATGGACACCTGGGGTTGCTGTCCTGATTACCTACTACTCACTATGCTACTGCCAAATGCAGTTATTTATTTTGTTGTTAAAAACAGTGGGGGGGGGAGACAGTATTTGTTCCTGAGAGTGAAATACTGTCCTCCATCTTTCATTTCCATAACGTGACAACTCTGCTGGGCTCTGCATTAGTATGCTCAGGTGCCCTTTTCCTGCCCCAGTTCTGCACTGCCTCTTAGTCATGGACCATCTCAGAATTGTGCTGGGGTGCAGTCCTGCGTATAGATGAGCACATGCTTAGCATTAAGCACATAAGTAATCCTGTTAAAGTTAATAGGCCTGCTCACATGCTCAAAATAAATTGTGTAAAAATGTTATAATGTATAAATGCCTAATTTTCTCAGTTCCAATAGAGAAAAGGGCTTAATCCAAAGCCCATTAAGTCAATAGAAATAATTCCCATTAACTTCAATGACATTTGAGTTAGAATCTAGATTGAAAACATCAAATTCAGTTTGATTTATGACTAAATTTGAAATCAGTATCTGTACAGCTTAGCCTGATTTTTAAAATGATGATTGTTTACTAGTTTAAAATAATTATGAGTAAATATATATGAATTTAATGCAATAATACATTTTTAATACACACTTTCCTGAATGGCATTATGATCAATGAAAGAGTTTTAAGCACCTGTGTATATAAAATTGAATCAAACATTCACTATGCAGCATCTCTGAGCAATTGCAAATAATTCTAGTGAGCTACTTGGCATCATATTAAGTACAGAATGAGGCCTTCCAAATTGTTTTTAGTCAGTAGTTACCCTGTAAAAATAATAATACTTCAGTTGAATTAACAAAGTTTTAGGGTTCATTTTATGGCTTATGTACTGTAAACTTGCACTGCACTGTATTAACACTTACTTGAGTTACGGGCAGGTTTATATTTGTATTTGCATTCCCCATTTTACATTGAAATGGCAGTTTTCAGTTGCTGGCATCATGGCAATATATTGCATACCAAAGAAAAAAGCAAGAAAGAAAAAAGAGAGAGAGAAATCCTGCTACTGCAGAAACACCAGAGGACAATGATCAAATGCATTTTTCAAGTAGCAGGGATTCTGTCATTTTCAATACAGCACATCTGCATGATTAGTCTCTGCTTTCCATTGTTTTCAACTTTCAGATATGTCGAGTTGACACTTTTGAAAATAGGATCATTGTCTGAGACTGGCAGCAAACACAAGTTGTAAAATATTCAGATGCTCTCACTTTATGTTAAATGGTGGTTCTGTGGCTTGTCTCTTCTCCCTTCTCCCTCCTCCCTCAGTGGGGTGTACTTCCAAGGGACAACCATTGGCATGGCACCCATAATGAGCATGTGCACTGCAGAGCAGTCTGGAGGTGTTGTTATGGTAAGTACCAGGAGCTCGAAACTTGAAACTAGTCCATCAATTGCAGAAAATTTTCATATATTTTCCTGTAGTATTTCTTAGAGGAAATTTTCTTCATTAGTATTTTACATCTAAAGTCTTGCTTTGTCAAGATCTACATCCAGTGTATGTTTGAAAATGTTTTGTAAAGCAGTTTCCATAGTGAATGAAATAAAATTTTAGATTAAAAAAAAAGAGTACAGCCTGTCTACAGGACTCCTCAAAGTGAATGGAACCAATCTCAGACTTAAAATTAAACAATGCACATAAGTGTTGGTAGAATCAGGACCAAAATAAATGTGGGGGGTGTGTGTGTGTGTATGTGTGTGTGCGCGCGCACGCGCACATGCATATCTATCTGTGGTGTGTACATTGAAAGTGTCTCTCAGGAATTTTTAATAATGATTTTAAAATACTGTGCATAAAAGTATGCGTTTACACAATCTCTAGTATAACAGTTTCTTTTCAGTGGAGGGGTTCATTAAATTGCCAGACTATAAGCACAATATATATACAAGCAACAGCAGCAAAATTTCTACTAACTACATCTTTCTCACAAGGAGTATTATGATTGCTTTCATTGTTAATTAGCTTCCTGCCACATAATGAATGCGTGTTCTGTACATGTGTGGAACATTTTGGCCTTTATCAGAACTTGCCATGGTCAGAGATGGTCGCAAGTCAGAATTTACTTTCCAGGAGAAATTCTAAAATTCTGAAAAATATATAAATAAAATGTGTTACATTTCTGAATTAGATGTATAAAAAGGATACAGTTGAAGATTTCTTGTGGAAGGGGAAAAGGTTTGAAATTTTTAAAATTCTCATTTTTAAGTGAACTTGAGTGTGGAGGCTCTTCTCTCAGCTGAGGCTCCCAACGCTTCTAGGTTCCTGGATCCCCATCAGCTCCAGCAGACTGAGAAGGAGCCCAGAGCCTAGAGGTTTGGTGAGCTAGGAAACCCAGGGTCAGGAATCTCAGAGCTTGGGATTACTAAGAATGCCCAGGATTTTGCAATCTTCATGATTAGGCAGGGGCCACAGAGCCTTGAGGATCCCATCTTCTTGCCCTGGGCGAGGTACCAAGCTCTAGATGGAAACAGGATTTCTAGGGTTTGCAGACTACTAGTTCTGCAGCAAGGCACTGGGACACCATGAATTTCCCAAAGTTCTGCAGACTTTTGGCTCCACAGCAGATTGTGGGAGCCTTGGGTTTAAACCAACATGTCCTTGCCCAATTTTAGGTCAGGGAATGAGGTGCAGGGGTGGGCCCTCCTGAACTCCATTTTACCCTCTCCATTAGGTGCAACCCCTATTTTGCCTGCTTCTGTAGATGCTGCCTAATTGGAATCTCTCGCTGTGAATCAGAGAATCATAGAAAATTAGGGTTGGAAGGGACCTCAGGAAGTCAGCTAGTCAGCCCCCTGCTCAAAGCAAGACTGTTCCCAACTAGATCATCCCACCCAATGCTTGGTCTAGCCAGGTCCTAAAAACCTCCAAAGATGAAGATTCCACCACCTCCCTGGATAACCTGTTCCAGTGCTTTACTACCCTCCTAGTGAGAAAGTTCTTCCTAATATCTAACCTAAACTTCCTTTGCTCCAACATCAGACTGTTGCTCCTTGTTCTGTCATCTGCCACCACTGAGAACAGTCTAGCTCCATCCTCCTTGGAACCACCTTTCAGGTAGTTGAAGGTTGCTATTGCCCCCTCAGTCTTCTCTTGTCTAGACTTAATAAGCCCAGTTCCCTCCGTCTTTCCTCACAAGTCATGTCCCCCAGCCCCCTCATCATTTTTGTTGCCTTCTACCAGACTCCCTCCAATTTGTCCACATCCTTTCTGTAATGGGGGGCCCAAAACTGAACACAGTACTCCAGATGTGGCCTCACCAGTGCTGAACAGAGGGGAAGAATCACTTCCCTTGATCTACTGGCAGTGCTTCTACTAATGCAGCCCAGTATGCCATTAGCCTTCTTTGCAATGAGGGCACACTCTTAGCTTATATTCAGTTTATTATCTACTATAACTCCCAGGTCCTTTTCTGCAGAGCTGCTGGTTAGCCAGTTGGTCCCCAGCCTGTACCAGTCCATGGGATTGTTCCATCCTAAGTGCAGGACTTAGCACTCATCCTTGTTGAACCTCCTGAAATTTCTTTTGGTCCAATCCTGCAATTTGCTGAGGCCTCTCTGAATCCTAGCCCTACCCTCCAGCATATACATTACTCCAGTTTGCTATCATCTACAAATTTACTAAGGGTACACTTCATCCCATCTTCCAAGTCATTGATGAAAATATTGAACAAAACTGGTCCCAGGACTGATGTCTAGGGCACTCTGCCAAGAAGACATCGAGCTATTCACTACTACCTTCTTATCTCAATGATCCATCCAGTTTTCTATCTACTTTACAGTCCATTCATCCAACCCATACTTCCTTAGTGAACATGTTGTGGGAGGCCATATCAAAGGCCTTGCTAAAGTCAAGTTATATCACGTCCACTGCTCTTCCCACATCTACAAAGCCAGTAATCTCATCATCAAAGGCATCTGATTCGTCAGGCATGACATGCCATTGGTGAATCCATGCTGACTGTTCCTGATGAACTTCTTGTCCTCCAAGAGCATAGAAATTGAATCCTTGAGGACCTGCTACATGATTTTTACAGGAATTAAGATGAGACTGTGCCGTTTGTAGTTCCACAGATCCTCCTTTCCTTTCTTAAAGATGGGAACTACATTTTCCCTTTTCCAATTGTCTGGGACCTCTTCCAGTCATCATGAGTTTTCAAAGATGATGACCAGGGGCTCTGCAATCACATCAGCTAGCTCCCTCAGCACCCCGGGTGCATCCTGTCTAGGCTTATGGACTTGTACACATCCAGCTTTTCTAAATAGTCCCTAACCTGTTTCACCACTGAGGGCTGCTCACCTCCTCCCCAGATTGTGCTGCCTGGTGCAAGTAGTCCAGGAGCTGACCTTGCCTGTGAAGGCTAAGGTGAAAAAGTCATTGAATACTTCAACCTTTTCTGCATCATCTGTCACTAGGTTGCCTCCCTCATTCAGTAAGGGAACCACCTTTCCCTTTTGTTGGTAAATACTTGTAGAAACCCTTCTTGTTACCCTTCACATCCCTTGCTAGCTGCAACTCCAATTGCGCTTTCCTGATTTCATCCCTGCGTACCCGAGCTGTACTCTTTTACTCCTCCCTAGTCATTTGTCCAAGTTTCCTCCTATTTTAGCTCACCGAAGAGTTCCCTGTTAAGCCAAACTGGTCTTCTGCTTATATTGCTAGTCTGCTTATACTGCCATATCTATTAGTCTTCCAGCACATCAGAATGGTTTGTCCCTGTGCCCTCAATAAGGTTTATTTAAAGTACAGCCAGGTCTCCTGGACTCCTTTCCTCCTCAGACTGACCTTCCAGGGGATCCTGCCCATGAGTTTCCTGAGTGAGTTGAAGTCTGATTTTCTGAAGTCCAGGGTCCTTATCCTGCTGTTTTTCATCCTTTCTTTCCCCAGGATCATGAACTCAATTGTCCTGTATTCACTGCTGCCCGGTTTGCCATTCACTACTCCCATTCCTCATCAGTTCTTCCCTGTTTGTAAGCAGCAGGTCAAGAGGAGTCGAAAGAGTTCAAAGTATTGTAGTTAGATTGATTAATATTCAGGGATACCCTTCACTCTTCAGTTCTTTGATTTTGTCCTTTTAAATTATCCAGTATTCCTGTAAATAGGTGACATGGTACTTTAGTTTTATCTTCTTCATATCTTTGTTCAAAATTAATGATTTAAACAGCAATATTAACACATTTCTTCATTCGGCTAGCCATAAGACAATTTTGTATACACCCCCCCCCAACCCGCCTGGCTTGGCAACTGGTGCTCCCTGGGTCTCGGAGGGCTTCCTGGGTCTCGGAGGGCACAGGGGTCTCCCTGTGGCTGAACCCTGAGCCGGAGGGGTGTGTGGGGGAGGGGAGTCCCCTATGCAATCAGCAGTGGACCTAAAAGTGAACTGGAAGTACTTCTGGTCCACTTCTGGGTCCGCCACTGACCCCCCAACACAATCCCGTGGGGCACTCCATCCACCCCACCATCTCAGCATTCACGAGCCATACCTGGTATCTCAAGGTATGTAGAAAAAACATATAAAGCTGTGTCTATGGCTGAATAGCTGAGTCTCCAAATTAGAATCGAATCTTCAGATTCAGGTTCGGCCGAATCGAATCAGGACAGTGATCCAAATCAGCTAATCAAATCACTGTCCCCCAGATTGGGCCGAATCCAAATCGAATACTGCCCGCTTTGCACACCTCTAATATGCACTCTCACAGCCATGGAGCGCCCCACACCGACAAGGTACTGGGAGACCACAGCTGCTGTGATCTCCTAGCTGCAGGGATGCTTTGTGCATCCCATGGGTGGGAGACCACAGCCGTGCCCTGTGGAAAGTCCTGCAGCTGCAGGATGTGGTGTCACCAGCACCATGGGGCACTGCCAGGAACCAGAGTCCACAGCTGCCAGGTGCTGCCAGGTCTGTGTGTCCCTTCAGATATGTGATTCCCTCTCCCAGCTGGGCATGATGCACCCTTGCAGCTGGGAGCCTGGTCAGCTGCTGGGGCCCCTGCCACAGGAAAGACCCTGTTACATGTGCAAATTGAAGCTGGGTAGCCATAAAGTTATTACACATTTTGAAGTAGTCAGCATGTGTAGCTGTTCTCAGTTAACTGTGCATTTAACCAGGCAACTGCACAATACCCGTAACATGAAGAGGGGGCCAGAGTTGCATGAAAATCTGTGGTAATGATTCTTGTTTTATTTAATGTAGTTCATATTGTTGTATCTGAATGGAAATTCAGGAATAAAAATATTTTTCTTAAAATATGTTTAGACAGTAATACCAATTGTTGTAAATTATCTTCAGAGCTCACACTTAAGCTTATGAAACTGAAGGTAAAATATTGCCTTCTCACTGATACATCTTGTACTGACCTCATTCAGGCAAGACTGCTGTTGTCTTCAATAGGTCAGCCTGAGTGAGGGCTCCAGAACTGAGCCACCGAGATATTATTTTTTAACTTAGAAACACCTCAGTGAAAAGCCCTTCTTGGTTCATTTGGGTCCCAGTCCTACAGCTGAATGAATACCCCTAGAGCTTTCCAGATTTGAGGCTTTAGCATTTTACAGTATTCATCTAAGTTATTTTATTCTTATGGTTTGAACTGAATCTCTGTGGAATGAGGCAGGGTTCATCTGAAAGCAGCTGCATATTTTGTAAAACAGCCCATAAATGTGTTTGGCAGTGGATGATTTCCTGTTCGACAATTGTAAAACTGTTTGCTAATGACTTTTACTACTGAACTTAGCTTTAAAAAGTAGAGGGATAAATCAGAGCTTCATTTCACATAAGTCTATTCATTCCTCTAGTGCTGCAGAGCTTAAATAGCCTTGCTATCAACTGGACATATTACTGTTTGTTTTGATTGTCTGCATTTATGCTGTCTTCAAATAACCTCTTTTGCTGAGCCATCACATTCCTTGTCTTTAAAAACCCACTCGAGAAACCTGATAAAACAGCATTCAAAGTGATCCCAGCAAGTAATGAGAACCGCATGTGTTGTAATAATTGTTTGTGTGTTAAAGACCAAAATTATGTTTCAGATCATTTATTGCTCTACTTTTGCAGTAGACTCTATGAATTATTATTTTTTTTAAACATATCATCTTTGGAAATGTCAAAATATCAAGAGGATCTCACTGTTTGTCTATGCATTGTGAAAAGAAATGGTATGCAGCATAAAAAATAAGAAGTTGGGCTCAATTTATTCTCTCTCTGAATAGTTCAAGATTGAAGAAAACCCCATCTTGACCACATCTGAAAATTAATGTGGTTGTTACAGATCCCTAATTGGAAAGCATAATTTGTGCTTTCCAGTGAAATAGGTGAATATTACATAATTTTCCTCTTCTTCCCCAGTCTGGGATGGTGTTTGTTTGTTTGTTTTAGGGGGCGTAGTTTGTAGGTAGGAGGTGTTCTCGCTATAAAGTCAGGTTTAATTATAGGGTATGGACATGTGTTCAGTTCTGGCACTGCAGATTTCCCAGAAACTTGCATTGCTGGATATCCTAGTGAGAGAGGAAGCATCCAGGCGTTCCAGCCTGCAACAGTCCCTATAGGCAAACTGGGGCTGAACTCTCAGCCCTAGCTGCTGTCCTGGGTCTCTGATGGCCCTGGGGAAATGTCCCTGTGCCTTCCACTGACTGGGGTGACCCGAGTCTGTGGAAGGCATGGGAGGAGTCAAGCGGCACGGATATGCCCCCCACACCTTCCAGACCCCAGGGTGAGCCCAGTCTATGGAAGATGCAAGGGCAGCAGCAGCAGCTCCAGTCCTCCTGGGAGGCGTAGAGCTATGTTCTCCACCCTGGTTATCCAGACTATGGAAGGAGCAGGTGAAGCATGCAGCCATTCAATTCAAGCTGTTATGAGAGAAGAGAGATCTTTTTGGTGGGAAGTGCTCTTATTTTCTTGCGGAAGAGCCATTTGTCTTCCGCAAAAAAAAATAACCCTGACTGACTGAATGCTCTTTTTTTGTGCCCAGAAGAAAGATGTTTTTCTCAACACAAATGTAATGCCTGTCTGTGGCCATAGTTATTCATGAAATATTTGGGTAATTCAGCACATATAGCCATAGAGATAAATCAAACTAGATGTTAAGACATCTCAGTGTGCAACTAAGTGTCACAGAGGAGTATTTTTTTAAAAAATCATTACAAATTACTTTCCTATATTTCTTCACCCTTCACTTTGCTGTTAGAACAAGAGAAACCTTCTGTGCAGTTTCACGTAGAACAGACATATTAAAATACAGTTCTCCACACTCAGTCTCAAGCATAACTTGTATTTTAGCAAGAAAAAGTTTTACATTAAATATTGCAGCATTCAGGAAAGCCTAAAGGAGACCATTTTCTGTTTTGAAGATAAAATTCCTTGAATTTATTCCAAATACCAAACGACAGTGGCCTTTTGCCTTCTGAAATTGATTGCATTCTCTTTTCAAATGTGTTTTCTACTTGAGAATTGATTTACTCAGAATATTAGCACAGCCGGCTGGAACAGGAAACTATAAAATCTAAACCAAATAATGTATTAAGTGTTCCATTTAAACAGAGGTAATGTTTTAGACAGTTTTTCCTTTTTACTCTTTTTTTTAGTTATGAGATTGGCTAAGATGATAACAGAGGAGGTATTTAAGGTGAATATATTCATATATGCTTTTATGAATGGCAGTTGTACATAGTAATTCCATTTACTCACTAATAAACAGTGGATCATGCATTTATATTAAATGTTTTATGCCTTTGGAAAAGCTTCTAAAAGAGAGAGGTTTTTTCCCTCAAATAACATGATTGATGTGAAAAGGTCTTTTTTACTTGTGGTCAGGCCAAAGAATTAATCTGATCAGTAGCCCTTAATCAAACTGTATGTTGAATTTCTCAGAAGTGTTTGTCCAGAAAAACATTTTCACAGGGTTCAATGCCAATATTTCTATTTTTGACATTTGCACAAAATAAGGCACTTAGAGGAGTTAACTAGAGGCCACCTGAAGACTTTGTCTTATTTTTTTTCTTTTTTTTTAAACAAAAATGAAGCTGTCTAAGGTAGCTGTTTGATACCACAGCCATGTTAAGTTCTGTTTAAACATTGTAATGGATGTTGCAGACAAAGAAAGAGCTCTTTGCTGTACTATGTGACTGATTTCTTTGCGTACAAAATTTTCTTGGCCACCTCTTATACCCTTCAGCTACTACTCTCCCCATCCCACAAGACTTGTGTAAATCATGTTCTCTTGTTTGCATGGCCGAAAAAGAATGGTTATAAATAATGTTAGACCAAAAATGTGTGGCTAAGATTCAAAGCAACCTAAGAGATTTGAGTGCCTGATCACCACAGGAGAATTAGGTGCCCAGGTTCTGCAGGCTGTTTTGAAAATCTCATCCTAAGCAGGGGGAGGTTATTTTATAATGTGAAATATTGCACAGTGGTTGCAGTTATAGCTAAGAAGTTTATAAAATGGTTTGGAATG